AAAAAAAAAAAAAAAAAAAAGAACAACTGCTGAATGGGATAAGAAGATGGCTGGATACTGGAAAGGTTTACAAACGTTATATCGACTGATACAGCCATAGGACGATATATACCGGCACTCAAAAACTAGTTTTGCAATTATTAATAAGCTAGACGAAGGCGACCGCTACAAGAACTAGAAAGAAAAAAGAAACGATACAAAATCCGACGAACGACTGGTGTTCGATGCTAATTCTCCTTAATATACGCTAAGAATACTGGCTAACTGAAGTGACTATCGGTGACCTGTTGAATGCCGAAGCCAAATGTGTATTCTGTTGGCAACAGTCCAGCTGCACAATGACGCGAGCAGCAATGTTCGTTCTCGGCCTGTCTGTAATATATTTTCTTTTAGCAAAGTTCATTGCCATGTTCGGGCTTGATGACCGTTGTGAACTGCGCCCATTGCAGCGCTTTTCTTAAGTTCCGGTCCTAGAAAGCCTAACGGTATACATAACTATTGATAAATACGGTTTAGATAAACAGAAGAAAGAAAATTTTAAATGAGCTGTGATTTTACCAGAAAGGTACTTTTTGCTTTTTTTTCTTAAGATAATATGAATTCATCTATGACGTCCATGTACAATAATTTCAGTCACCAACAAATTATGCAACAAACGTTACGAAGTACAGATATATATTTTTTTAAAGTTTATTATTTTTCTGCAAGAAGGGTAAACCTGAGAAAAAAAAGTTGAAGCTTCTTAGTTGGAACTTGTAAACTTCAGTGATGATGACAGTAAATGGTTTTTTTTATAAATTAGAATCACTAATATCTTAAAGCCTGAGACCTGATTTTAGCCATTTCAAATCCCTTTTTTTTAAATGCTGTTGGTTTAATAGGTCCTTACTAAAACCTTACAGACAATTGTTTACGGAACTTCCATAATCTACTGCTTAAATTCTGTTTTCTTATCTAAAGAATGCTTAATTTATATTCTGCCGTTATTTGAATTCACTTAAAAAACAGATTTGTTGAAAAGAAGGGTTTAAATTTGCTTTATAAATAAACCATTTTCTTTCCAAATGACATTCATTTAATAACCATACTGTTGACGTGCCACTGTATGAAGATGTTCACATAAAGAGAGATATGGATAGAATAAGTGTTAAAAAAGAATAAATATTTTACATAGGATACAACGGTAATGTACAGACTGCAGATGATTTATTGGAGAAAAGTTTATGCTTTTAAATTTATTGGAATGAAATAAAGAAAAAAATAAAGGTTCTCTGCTTTCAAAAATTAGTTTCTTAGAGAACACAGTTGCACAACATGATCCTAACAATTCTTATTTTTTATCACAAGTTTTTTGAATTGTTATTTGCATTTAATATAGATCTTTATTCCTCCTAATAAAAATATGTATGCTGTGAAGACGAACTATAATTCGGTATAGTAAATTTGAAAAATAAAAATTATCTCAAAAATAGAATAGTGTTCATACAGTTTTTGCTATGAGTATAAACCATAAAATCAACAAGACTTAAACCATAAACAAATTCTCGACGTTTTCAACACAGTGGGTAATAGAGAACGGCAAAAACAAATCAGCTTAAAAAGAGGATAACTTAAGAATTCTGGTTTCCCAAAAAATGTAAATTACTGGGGGTTTTAAATCGGCAAGAACTCTCTTTATTACCATTACAATAAAGCAGTTATAATAGTGAGTTAAAATCAATCAAAAAAAAAAAAAAGAAACGTGCCACTTAGAATCAAGAATTAGAATTAAGAACTAGATGAACAGAAAATAAACGCTATATCGAGGAACTTCTATTTTCAGTTTTGGAAGTACAACTTTTTACTGTTCAAATAATGCACATAAACAAACTTTCAGACAGGTCTTACAACAGTATATATAGAAAGAAAGATATACACAAAAATCTTTTTAAAAAAAAGCACCATTAAGATAATTTCAGAAAATGTTGACACAATAAATTGATCCATTGGCAGAGCACAGTATTTTGCCTTATAAAGACAATGTGATTGAGCGGTCGACCACTGTGATTTAAATTCCGGGTCAGTTCTCAAACCGTCTTCCATTTTTCCAAAAACCTCATTTTACCTGTTACTCTTTTTCACATACTTCCGATGTGATCACAAATGCTGGTTCTTTAGGTGAATAAGGAATTAAACCGGAGTAGCATTTTGAAATGTTTTATCCCCTTAATTCCTCACCAATTTCAGCCTTTTCAGCCTTCTTTCAATCTACATTTACCCATATAGCAAGACAGAGGACATCAAAATATCGCTTTTATCAAGCGGCTTCAAAACAGCTACTTTTTCCGAATTACGGTGGCAGCGAAATATTTCCTATTCCATCTATTTAGACAATTTTTTTAAGCCATGGTTTTCTTTTTAACGTACTGTTTTTCAAGAAATGAATCATTCGTTATACAATCTTTACTACCAGAGGAACATTAACACTTTGACTGTCAGCAGTAAAAGTCTATCGCAGTCCAGAAGTTCGTACAGAACAGTTCTGACTATCACAGCATAAAAAGTTGCGAAAGTTCTGACAACTCTTCTTTTCAACAGGAAAACAAACGTTTTTAAAGCTGGTACTGAACAACCTCAGCAGTCAGGAAATTTTTTATGACCGACTGTTTCTGTTAGATATTACACTATTATCAGAAAAGCCTATCCAGCGTTATCGGTTTCGTCATGGTCACTCAGAATGTTTTGTCTTGGACCAAGTTGGCATGCACGACCCTTTTCAGTGCCGAGGTTCAAGATCAATTTTATCAGGACATTTGTGTAAAAATGTATCAGAGGACAAAAGAGTGGAGATCGGAATGAAAAGTAAACCGCTGCAGTGTAAGGGTGGTCCTCTGATGTATACTGCAAAGTCGAACACTTGAAAACGCAAATTAAGGCGAGGAGTTAATGGGGGAATGGAAATCATCTAAGTGTTTTGGTTGTGGCACGATTCAAGGTTCAGGCTGGCTACTTCGCGATGTCAAACGATGCTTTTCCTTTGTTTCCCTTACGAAGTTTCTTTGCTTCTTTAAATGTCCATCTCTTTGTATGCAGCTTGTTTCAGATTCGTCTCTGACTGCAAATTTTCTCTAGCAGCCTTTCCGGTTCATGCAGTCTAACATCTGGATACACATTTGATGGCAATAAGTCCAAAGGTAAGTCAAATGACTTTGAACAAGGTTTTAAATTACTCTGCCAAAATAAAAATTACATAAAATAAGTAGTTTTATAAATGTTGCTATTTTACCGGTGAGATGAAAGCAGTTTACACATTAAGCGGTTTTACAACTATTAACCAAAAAGAAGAATTCATTCCTAGATCAGTTAGACATCGTGTTTAAGGAGTGTTTTTTGACTAATTTTTCTTTACGGCTTTTTTTCCTTGCATCATTCATACGAGATCCGTGCTGTTAACTGTTACTACAAAAAGTTTTACTTGACTAATTTTGTTTTCAAATTAAACTCATCTGTCTTCTTTAAAGCTAATAAAATTCGTTTGCAGTGGTTTTCTTGGAAGGATAGCGCAGTGGGACGGTTCTGGTGCGTCAGTTGTAGCCTAGGGTTTTGAGTAGCGGCCGATGAAGACTGTTCGGCATAGTTCAACTGAAATTCAATGTGGCAACTGATTTCGCTGAGTCCGCTTCGTGATTCTCTTTGCATCTTTCATTGGGTGTGATGGGTTTAGGGTTTTAGATGTTACTACCGTAATATTAGCTTCATTGGAAAACTTTACCTTTGAAGTCTGCTCTCTTTAAAGTCCCACAAAGAGGGAAGGTTAATTTTGACAGTATTTTTTATAACTAAAACATTTTAGATGGAAAGGATGGAAAGTAAGGATTGTCATACTGATAGGTTGGGAGTAAAACGGTTCTCTCAATATCATTTTCAAATGCCTTCAGTAATTGCTGATAGAGTTGCTTCAAACTTGACTCATTATTTGTCTGAAAATTTATGCTTTTTTTGATTGTACCTTTTTAATTTATTACTTAGATAGTCATAAATAGTTTATTGCTTAGGTTTTTTTCCATCTCACTTAACTGCAATGATACTTCAAGACTCAAATCTTTGACATTTGATTTGGTGGTTACAAAATGATAAACTTTCATTGATTAAAATGTTCTTATAAAAAAAAATTCTTTGGTCTTTATTTGTTTTCAACTGATATCTATTTTGAAAGCAATAATTGTTTTGTCCAATCAAATTTTTTGTCTCAGTTTTAGCGCAATAATATGTAATTGCTGTAATCCTGATGTTATGGAATGTTCAAAAGTGTTTAATCTTTTTTTTACAGTTACTTTTTTTTTGGCAGTAACTTGATAACTATGGTATGTTTTTGTTGTTGCTACTGTTGTTGTTGTTGTTGTGTGAAGAGTGGGAACGAACAAAAAAAGGCAAAAAAAAATTATAGGAATAATTTACAGCAGAGATAAAATCAGAGATTTTTAATCTTAAAAAAAAAATTTTTTTTTTTTATACTGTGCATGGAGAAATACATTTGGGACAATCTTGAT